CGACAAACGAATTCCTTAGGCGGCCATATATATGGGGCTCATATTTGGTGGAGGTACTTAACCGGGTACAAGGTATCCCCCTGTATATTAATCTGCCGCGCTTTAGTAAATCCCGAAATCCCCGCTTGGGCTTCCCTATTATTTGGCGGGAGTTGATCGTTTTTTGCTTGATCTGAGTTTTCCATATGTTACGTTTCTCTACGCTAGCTTGACTAAATGCATTGTTGGACAACATATACGCGGCTTCTTAGAATTTTCCCTTAAACCAGTGTTCCTCTTTGTGGATGATTTCAGCTTGAGCCCACTTGATGTTATGTTGTCCAAACATGCTCTGCTATTCCGGATTTGCTGGTTTCTCCTCGCTTTTTTGTACAGATTCTTTCAGGGATTTCAAATCAATTTATATTATATTAGACAATGGAAGTCCGAACTGATGAAATATATTCTGTTATCACGAAATGAAATTGTTTTTGGTAACATTCAAAGTTGACTCCCTCTTTCTCTCCGCCCAACGTCGTTACACAGTAAACATTTTTTATTTCATTTCTTTTCGTAACAGTCATCCACAGCCCTAAGGTGTGTGTGGCGACCGAGGCGGTCGCTTTGGGCACCGCGATCCAGGGGGCGCCGCCGTGGGTAAAAAATATTCATAAGAGTGCTATGTACTTTTATTTATAAGCACTTAGACAACTGTGTCGGTCACATCAAAGTCACACCAAAAGAACTACTGCTTAGGATCAAAGCCACAAACAGTACCAATTTGATTCCAAACTTGTGGGTCGTGCTGAAAGTGTTACTAACAATACCCGTGACAGTTGCTAGTGCCGAATGAAGGTTTAGTAAACTTGAGCTTATAAAAACATATTTGCGCTCTACGACGACACAGAAAAGGCTAAACTCTCTGGCCATTCTATCGATAGAGAGTGACACAGCAAAAAACTTCAAAGAAATTCTGAGAACATTTGCTAATGCGAAAGTCGAGCGAATGCCTACAAAAGTTTAAAGTTTATATACAGGGTGTAACATAAGTACGTTAAAATATTCAAGTGACGTATTCCTGAGACAATTTAAAAAAAAAAAGTTCATATGAGCTTCCGAAAATGCTTCATTTCGGAGGTATAGGGTGTTGGAATTAAATTTTTTTGTTTTCTTTTTGAAAATAACTTTTTTAAATAACTGAAAATGAGTTATTTGCACGAAATTCGGTACCCGGGGTTTTTTTGACGGGAGAAATCATAATTTCGTATTGATTTTCATGTAACATCTAGAGGGCGCTGCGTACGCTGTCATTATTTATTTCAAATTGCCCTAACTTTTTTGACAGTAAATTTTTGGTACTTTTCATGAAAATACCTGATTCACACACCTTTTCCAAGTAAAAAAGGTACACCTCCTCAACAACGCTAGAAGTAATCGTTTTCGAGATATATACAATTTTCTATATCGATGCATATTACTTTATAGCCAAATTTGATTTCAATAATTTTTGTCACTCTCCGCTTTCAAATCAAGTAAATTGAATCGAGTAGGCTATGAAAGTTTGTTTATTAAACTAGAAGTTCGCTGTTACATTTTTAACTATTAATTGACAAATTCACAGTTCGGAATTTATAACGTGATTTTTCAGTACCATGCCCGACTTTATGAATACTGAAATGGCTGATATGGTTTTTGCATACGGCTTGGCTGACGGAAATTCAAGCGAGGCCAGACGCATCTATCAGGAAAGGTATCCCCACCGCGTATCTCCTTGTGCAGCGACATTTGCGAATCTTTTCCAGCGACTTTCCGAATCTGAAATCTTTGAAACAAATTCTTCAGTAGGACTGCCACGGACTACAAGAACTGTAGAATTGGAGAAGGCGATTCTCGAAGAAATTAGTGAACATCCAGAGACAAGTACAAGAAAAATTAGTCAAACTTTAAATGTGAGTCCAGGCACTTACGCTACGTGATGTTCAACCACGTATCCAATTTGCTCAATGGCTTCAAAGAAAAGTCGAACAACATCCGCAAATTTTATCGAAAATCCTCTTCACAGATGAGGCTAATTTTTCAAGAAATGGTATCATGAACTTCCATAACAACCACATCTGGGCGGAAGATAATCCACAAACGCAAACTCATTTCCAAGACAGATCATCTTTCAATGTATGGGTAGGCATAATTGGAGATAACTCAATTGGGCCCTATTTACCTACATTTTTTCGAACACCCCAACTTATGAAAGATGTTCCTATTGGTCTCCGAAATCAATCTTGGTTTATGCACGATGGAGCTCCTGCTCATTTAAGTGTGATAACAAGAAATTTTTTAGACGTGGCATATCCCCAACGATGGATAGGAAGAGGAGGCACTGACCATTGGCCCTCGAGGTTACCGGACCTCAATCCCGTCCATTTTTTCTTTTGGAGACAGCTGAAGCCACTAGTTTATGCTAGCCCCATTTAAAACGAGAAAATGTTGCGAGATCGCATCATAGCTTGTTGCGAAACGATCAGAAACACTCCGAGCATTTTTCAACGGGTGCGGAATTCTCTGATGAGGAGAGAAGTTTGTATTACTGTTGGGGGTCGTCACTTCGAACAGTTGTTGTAATAGTTGTTTTGTTCAATTTTTATATGTTTATTTTCCTAATAAATAACATAGTACAAACTCCGAAATGTAGCACTTTCTAATTGAATAATTAAACCTGACAATTTTTTTTAATGTAGATTGAATAAGCAGTTCGATAATGATCAGTTTAGATGAATACTGTACGGGTATACTGTGTATAAAGTTTGATGGAAATAACTGAAGTTGCAAAAAACTTATGACAAAAACCTACCATGTTTTGAAAAATTTCAACAATTTGTATTTCGAAAACGAATCATTCTTCGTTAAACATTTTATAGGAAAAAGTTGTTTATTTTGTCAAGATCCACCACATACTTAGTTTTTGTAATGTTGTCAGCAACTTCACTTGGCGCCCTAGGAGCTAAGTAATATGCATTGTAAATATCTCGAAAAAGATCGCCTCCAGCGTTGCTGAGGAGGTGTACCTTCTTTACTTGGAGAAGGTGTGTGAATTAGGTTTCTTCATGAAAAGTAGCAAAAGTTCACTGTCAAAAAAGGGCAATTTGAAATAAATAATGACAGCGTACGCAGCGCCCTCTAGATATTACATGAAAATTAATACGAAATTAAAATTTCCCACGTCGAAAAAACCCCAGGTGCCGAATTTCGTGGAAATAACTTGCAATAGTTATTTTCAAAAAGCAAACAAAAAAATTCAATGTCAATACCCCGTATCTCCGAAACGAAGCATTTTCGGACACAAGTTTATATTGACTTTTTTCTCAAAATTGTCTCAAGAATACGTCACTTGAATATTTTAACGAACTTATGTTACACCCTGTATATGGACCACAAGAAAGAGCACTAAAGACATGAACAGAGAATGAAAAATCAAAAACTGTAAATGAATAAATTTAAATGTTAGTATTAGTATATGTATATAATGTATATAAAATTTGTAGTGGTGGGTGGACGGTCCGTGATGCTGTTATTTATAATAGCCAGTCCAAAACACGGCGGGTATATAGGTGGTGGATAATGGGGTGGTTCTAAAGAGCTAGGGTATTATCCCCCCGAACCAAAACTGAAACGGACAAAAATATGGGTTTTACAAAGGGAGGGGGCGCCGATTTAAGCCTTGCCTTGGGCTCCTACAAACCACGCGACGGTCCTGTAGTCATCGCGCTTATTTTAGTTTCATATCATGATACTTCCAAAGAAAACTATCTCAACACATACCCGTGAGGATCCATATCATCTCTTAATCAACTCACCTGAGATCTACTAAGCATGTGTTTTCTAACAGGAGCTGCAGCGGTGGGATGTGCAGTTGGGTCATGACTCAAACTCGGTGCTAATAGAGGTTTCGTGCAATCCGGTTCGGACCTGGAATCTTTCAGAGCCGAATCAGTAGTAGAAACTACTCCCTGCCTCATTTCTATACTGTCTAAGTGAGTTAGGCTTCGAGATCGAACCTGAAACAGAACAGAAAATTAAGTAAATGTTAATGAAAATGTGGTGAATAACAAAAAGTTAATTCTCAAGAATACTGAGTTATGACTATTCCCAAAGGGTTTCAAATGAGAAATTTGGGAGGAGAAATATTTCAAACAGGTGGTTATTTGGAGGAACTTCCATTGAAAAAAACAAATATGCCTTACAACGAGCATGGTGATATATTTGTATTTATATCCGAAAATGACTCGATCTGATTCTCTACAGTGAGTTTTTCAGTGAAACATTGAAGAAAAAGTAAATATCGACCTATTTGACACTTCATTTTACTTGATACTTGAATTTTCGAAACTAATCCCAATGGTTTTCATAATACTGTGATTGCATATGACCAAATAACAATCACTTTTACTATCCATGATGAAAGTTATGGAATTTCCTCATTGAATTTTATTTAAAACGCGTTTCGCTACACCGTAACTTCATCAGTTACTGGTCACCGAACTAGTCTACGAAATAATAGTGGAATAGATTGGTGTACCAATAACTGATGAAGCTATCGTGTTGCCGAAACGCATTCTAAATGAAATGTATTGCGAAAATTATCAAGTAACGGGTAAGACTGTTGATACATTACTTGATAGATGTCGGCCAGTTCATGTACTCTTGGATTTTTTTAAAAACATCAATTTTGGTCTCAATACCACCAGTAAATCTAGTGATCAGACAGATGCGAAAAATAAAATAAAATAAAACAAATCTAATCACAATAGGAAAAAGTGAACACCATTCTTGCATTCAAAACATGTTAATAAAGATATTGCCGTCGAATATTGAAGTGAACAAAAATCATTTTGTCAAGTGGGAGAGAGGCAAAGATAATTTTCTTTCTGCTCGAAGAAGACAAGCATTCATTTTCACTGATAGATCGCGAAAACAGCAACCTAAATTGATAACAGTCAAGTTCCCGAGACCGCAAATTGTTATTTCAGCAAGTTATACAAATATTGATGCCAGATCCTCGTCTCAAATCTAATCCCTAAGATCAATTGTGTGTCCGAGACATCCAATATTCCTGAACCACGAGAATATCCAATTTTGACTAACGCGAAATTCATTGGGAATATCGAATCAACATACTCCAAGGTGAATGTGTATAACGAACTCTCCCCACAACGATTCTCTAGGGAGACAGTGGATTGCATATCTTCCCTCAGCGAAGGTATAATTTTCCACTTCTGTGTATTCTTGCATTCACAGCGACAAAGATTGGAGCGTCGAGTGGGGGAGATAGGAAAAGTAGCAAGTTTTCACGTGTGCTGTGATGGAAATTAGATTATTTTTCATAGCGAAGAGAGCATATGCATGTTATGATTTGAAACTGGGGAAAATCATTTCACGATTCGAATGAATGGAAAAGGGTACGATTACATTGATGTTTTTACATTTGTACTCAAGTGGAATATTAGCACTTCAGACATTCGAAACACCAAGAACTATTTTCACTTATACAATTAGACTTCCCGAAGGAAATTAATAAAATTCAATGAAATTCACGTATTAGTTAGAAAATAAAGGATAACTTCCATTTTTTGACGTTTTGGTAACGAGGAACCAATGTAGAGGGCTAGAATAAGTTGTATTTAGCAAGGAAACAAGCACGTACAGGTATATTCCTGACAGTTCACATCACTGTGGATAGCACAAACGTGCTGGGCTGAATTTTCTAGTGCATCGTCTTTTGACCTTTCCCCTCACACATGAGGTTCACAAAAGAAAAACGTACATTACAGGAAATAGCAGCCAGTAACAGTTTTTCGAGGGGTATTGTAGATGATATAATAAGGAAGAAAGAGTTTAGATTGAGAATGAACGGAATCTCGACTTTTAAAAACGACGAAAACCAAGATAAATATATACACAATACACGAAAAACTCCAAAAAGATTTTAGATTTAAGACACTCAAGACACCGGTACCTAAAAAAGGTATCTATGGTATAAATAAGAATAACATTGTAAGCATATTTAGTTTAATCTTCTTCTTAAAAATGATCACTTGGTGATCGAAACATGTGTCGAAGTTTAAAATAACGATTTGATGTTGGGAAAAAATTCCAATAATATTCATTTTAATTCTATTGAGATCATAATGTGATATAGAAAGTGCCGATATGAATATACGTAAAACTTTTTGTAAAGACACGAACTTCAAAATGCAACCACGAAATTACATATAACTACCAAGGAATTGGGTTTTATCTACGAGCATCTGTTTATTGTGACTTGCTCACTGGACAGTTTACAAAACCGCAACACGTATTTCGTTATAGAACAGCTGTCTCAAACGTTTTCATACTGACTAAATTATACTCAATATGTGCTTTATACAAAAATAAATTTACCTGAGTTCAATAACAATTTACCAATAACATCGCACGTTCTTCATTCATCAAAAACAATAAAAACAAAACTTCAGTATCAGATATATCAGGGGTATATAATTTGACTTGTGGTTCTTGCCCAAAACTTTATATTGGCCAGACGGAAAGAACCTTTTCCCTAAGAATGAAAAAAACATAGCATCAGTTTCCTGAATGGGAAGACAATTCCACATTCCATCTAGAGGGGTATGAGTTCAACCACGACTATGAAGTATTGTATTTGGAAAAAAAAAAGGTTTAAACTCAATTTTTTGGAATGCTTAGGAATTAACAGTTTCAAAATTTTTGAAAACCTACTGAATGACCAGATAGAATAGAATTCTTCTTCTCTTCTGCAACCGAATGTGAAAATTGGTAGTTAGTTCATTGTATATTCATTCAATGATATAGTGATATTTTTTTTTATGGTGTTATTGAAAAATGTTAATTAGTTTTTACTTGAACTTAGGTGAAATTATCAGTCATTAAGTAAAAAGAAGACGATATAATTCAAATTGTTACTTTATAAAGCGTTTTCAATGAGTTGTTGAAGTTTATTCTAATCGTGGGACGGTAGCCTGATGGGTTGATGTAGGTGGTTTGTTCCACTCATTCAATCGACCGCTGTGCGAACCAGTGGTTCGAACCTCCAGGCCGAACGATCGTAAAATACTCAAAAACAAACTTTATGAACGCAAGACGCGATGTGATACGGGATTATCAAAACCTTTCGATGTTCATCTAATTAAATCATTGAAAAAACAATATGCGACTTGAAAAAAACAATATACGACTCTTACAAAAGCAATGAGATTCCTACAACTGAAATCATAAGGAAGAAAATGAATACTTCCGGCCACAACGTGAGCGGCTGTGATAAAACTCTTTAGAATTGGATAAAGAAACTAGGATTAAGATTCAAAATAACAAACAAACGTCAAGCAGTTATGGAAAGCAGAAGAAGAGTGGAATTGCATAAGAAATACTCAGAACAAATAACTAAATATATGCAAGAACAACGGCAAATTTTCTATTCAGAAGAAACTTGGTATGCCATTCACGACAGAGTTACGAAAGGGTGGACTGATGGTTCGAGAATGCCTGCAAACAAAGGATCACGACTAATCATTGTGCATTGCGGAGAAAGTGAAGAATGGGTTCCGAATTCTTTGAAATTATGTGGAAAAAAACTTGAGGACTGCAATGTTGACTATCATAAGAACATGGAAGCTAATTTTTTCAAGGAATGGTTTGAAAACACATTGATCTCAAATTTTCACTTCCTATCGTCCAACCCTTGTTAGGAATCAGACTTTGAAAGGTAAGACCTCGTTAATCTTTACCTCGCATAAGTTTCGACTTTTGATAGTTATCGTTCATAGCTTGAATAAGTTATGGATTTTAGATAAAGAAACTAGGATTAAGATTCAAAATAACGAACAAACGTCAAGCAGTTATGGAAAGCAGAAGAAGAGTAGAATTGCATAAGAAATACTTAGAACAAATAATTAAATATAGGCAAGAACAACGGCAAATTTTCTATTCAGACGAAACTTGGTATACCATTCACGACACAGTTACGAAAGGGTGGACTGATGGTTCGAGAATGTCTGCAAACAAAGGATCACGACTAATCATTGTGCATTGCGAAGGAAATGAAGAATGGGTTCCGAATTCTTTGAAATTATGTGAACATGGAAGCTAATATTTTTGAGGAATGGTTTGAAAACATATTGATATCAAATTTTCACTTCCTATCCTTCAACCCTTGTTAGGAATCAGACTTTGAAAGGTAAGACCTCGTTTATCCTTACCTCGCATAAGTTTCGACTTTTTATAGTTATCGTTTATAGCTTGAATAAGTTATGGATTTTCTTGAACATCTACATGCAAGTTCTAAGAAGTAGCTTTTTTATACTGACAAAGATCGTCTATTCATATTCTTTGAAAATAGTAGAATTCAAACTGCAAGTGTATTCGTACTATCATTCTTTCCCGATGATTCTCATGATGAAAATCAATATTTGTTGTATGCAAAAAACGGGGGTAGCAAAGACAACTAACTTTCAATGAAACGTGACAAATATTTTTTTCCTTTTAATAAAAGGAGAAGTTTCTTCTGTATTTGCACATATCTCCTAAGACTATTTACATTTTTTCAAAAAATTTGAATTCAAACTGCAAGTATATGATTCTTGGTAGCAAGTTCATCCCTCTCTACACTTTTTATGGCGGAGTATAGTATATGTTTTATGACAAAATAGAGGTTGCAATTCACATCTATATTTACCAAGAAAGGAACATGATTTCACTATTGCATCTTTTGATTTTCAGTAGATACTGGAAAAATCAGTTTGGAAAACTGAAATTAATATTTATATTCAATAAAATGATCTGAATACCACGAATTATGAAAAAAAATGGCATAATGATCTTTGTCGAGAGTAGATCAAAATATATAATTGATAATCATTAACTATACATTCTTGATGGAATAGTCGATATACTGATGCAATTTGGAAAACTAATGCGTCATCAAATACATTTCTTTGAACAGTTCTTTGAACAGAAAGCAATATAATCCTATTTACAATCCATT